GTATGTATGTATGTATGTATGTATGTATGTACGTATGTACGTACGTACGTACGTATGTATGTACGTATGTATGTACGTACGTACGTATGTATGTATGTATGTACGTACGTACGTATGTACGTATGTACGTATGTACGTATGTACGTATGTACGTATGTACGTATGTACGTATGTACGTACGTACGTATGTACGTATGTACGTATGTACGTACGTATGTATGTACGTAGGTATGTATGTACGTAGGTATGTATGTAGGTATGTACGTACGTACGTACGTATGTATGTACGTAGGTATGTATGTAGGTACGTACGTACGTACGTACGTATGTATGTATGTATGTATGTATGTATGTATGTATGTATGTTTTTTGTGTTTGAAATGCAAATAAACCGAACACTAATACTGGTATTTTTTAAAGAGCAGAACATTTTCAGACTTCAGCTTTTTGAAAAATTGGCCTAAAATGTGTGCTAAATTTATATATATATATATAAAACATGTGATAATTGGGGCAAAACATTATTTTTAAAGGATATTTGAGTAAATTTAATAACCAATTCATGCACTTAAACATTGAATCCAAGCCCTGTTGATTGGAGAGATTATAACGTGTGCGGCGACGACTGTATGTTTGGAGAACGGTTCGGATGAGCCGACGAGTAATACATATCCGAACCGACGAGTAATACATGACGACGTGATCGTATCTGGCCTGTCTACGGATTTAAGGTCAATCACATGTAATACTTGTCAACTAACAAGTTAAAAGATAATTTATATGGACAAAACATTTTGGTTGCATGTGTCTATGATTATTATGATTTTTTTTTTCTATTAAATTGAACAATAATGCTTTTTATATCACATTGGTAGTAGGATTAGATTGTGTTTTATTCCAATTAATTTACATTTTTTAGTTAATACCTTTTACATAAAAAAGTGGGTTAATCTTTCAATTTTTTTTTAAAGATAAGTAATCTTTTTTTGTTTTAACTATTTTTTTAAAAAAATAATTGAACTTCCGCTGATTACCGTCGACCATCCCCTACCGGTCGCCGCCGATCACCACCGCTCATTCCTTACGACAAATTCATCCACACATCTAGTTGTAATTCATGATAATAATAATTTCCCGTCCATGGGTCAAGGGTCTGTACTTATAATCTTCAGTTTATAGTAAATCGCTTCAATTGGATCTGACCACATGGTTTTTCCCCTTACAAGTTTTCCACGTAAAAATTCATGATGTCTCTGCTGGCTGTATTTTTTTATCTGAATGCACGCTGAATCCTCATGCAATATTAAGACGATAATACATTACTCTACCTCCACGAATCTTCTAACACACATCAATATTATTCATGATCATAAACCAATGAAATACTAGATTTTCAAACTTATTCATTCATCAATTGAATATTTATAAGACCATTCAAATTCATTAAAGGCCATACATTAACTAATTAATCCAAGTCCCCAATATTCTGTAAAATGCATTGATTCATTCATATCTCTAAAGCAAAAGAATTAAAACCTGCCTCACACCACCACAAGAATGAAAGCATATTCCATGAACCCCCAACCTTGTTTTATTTATTTATTTATTTATTTTTGCATGGCAGAATGAGATAAGAAAAATATACACATTTGATATAACATTAATATCAACATATTTGTAATAAATATTCTTTTTAGCATACAATTCTACTTGCTTGGCAATTATTTCACTAACCATGTCTATCTTACATGTGAAGCTATTATATGTTATTGTACATATGTTAAACAACAGTATATAATAATGTTATACGAGAAGTCTGCATGTATAATATTCTCTTGACAGAAGAGAGATACGCATGCAGGCATCACCAGTCGTTGCAATGCGGGCGTGCGGTGGTGATGGATGTCTTTCCGGCTCGGCGGACTCCATTAATTGATAGACTCGCCAGATCAGACCTGACTCTCTCCAAGTCTCTCTTTGTCGTAGTAAGTATTTCTCCCGAATCAGTTTCTAACAACAGATTTCTTCTCATTGGATGAAGAAGAGAAGCTTTCGATAGACTCCATATCTTCCTCCATTATAGTCTCCAACGTTCTCGACGACATCTTTTTGTATTTGGTGATTCGGATCAGCTGCGGTGGCGCCACTTCTATAGCGTACAAACGTAGGGTTTGCGCCACCCTCGCCATTCTACGTTGATATTGTAGAAGAAGAAGAACAAGAAGTTAATTGCACAAGGCTTTTTGCTTTTGATTAGTATTGATTGATTGGCAAGAGCTTTTGAGGAGATATTTATAGTTTAATGTGTATGGGAAAAAAGAATGAATTTGTTGCCAATGCCTTTGTTTGGTTTGATGTGGATGGTTAAAATTAAGACGGTTGTTGGTTTTCGGTTTCGGTGTTGAGGAGGAAAAAATGTTACGTCTGGAAATTTTATGTTCGAGTAATGGTGTGGATCGCACACGTTGTTGTACACACGGTGATGTATGATGCAAGCCGTTATCTGGACATTTGGACGACAAATGTAATATTTTTTTTTGTTACGGTGCAGTTTTAGAAGTTTTTTTTAAGGGGACTAAAAAAAATTGTATTTTTGTTATTTTAAATTTTAGATTATGGTGTATTGATTGGTTGGATGAAGCTTTTCTAGGAAATATATTAATGGTTGATGAGTCTCCATTTATGATAGGTATAAGTTAGCTTTAACATGGGCATATTAAATTGGCGTTGGTCGAAAATTAAATGCGGGGCGAATCTCAAAAAAAGAAAGAAGGGGAAAATAGGATGCAGACTGATTCATGTCATAGTGGTTGAGGGTGTAGTCTCCCATTATGAGTTTGTGGAATCGAGTCTCACATATTGCCTTTTGGGCTCATCTTTCCCAAAATAAAATGAACGAACTATTTATGTGACGTTCGATATCATCATTAAAGTTTGTGGATTCTATAAGTCCATAGGAATAGTTAATTAATGCTTATTAACTAAGATGAGGAGTGGATTAACTAAGATTTTATTAGAGCTCTTTTTTAAATTAAATTAAATTTTTTCCTTTAATTATAAAAAGTATGTTAATTTATTATATTTTCACTTGTTATTATTATTATTATTTTTAAGTAAATCAGCTAATTTTTAAGGCATCCAAAATAAATTTTAAATTTTTTAAAATTGCTTTTAAAAGTAATTGACCAACGGCCACCCCTATTGTTATGCTATTTCGCTGGTCATCATCACATAGAATTAATTTGTTCAATATTTAAGAGAAATAATAAAAAAATTATTTTTAAAATAATGAATTTAATAATGTTTTATTACCATTGTAAGACATTTATACGCACTTTTATTTTATTTTATTTATTTACACGATTTATTAGTATTGCTAGCTAGTAAATTCATGGCGACGACATGATATATTAACATCCTAGTATTGTACGAAGATCCAACACATTCATAGATAAAAAAAAAAACCTGATGAAGAGAACAAAAGTGTTTACGCGGGAAGGTAAGAATTATAGGGCATAATCAAGTTGAAATGATTTCACTATACAATGTAGGTTAAGAGAATTTATTGGCCTTTAACTAGCCGAAAACAATATTACACAAGTGGGGGTTGTTGATGTGACTTCCTTTAGTGTAATGCATCGGGAATGAGGTGTTGTCCTGATGACAGCGGTCTGATGGTAGCAATGCTGATGATCCGAGGCAACATTAATGGTCCGACAACAGTGGTGGCCAGACGACACTGGTTCAACGACAACAACGACGACGACTGGGAGATGGTGGTCTGGCAGCGGTGAAGAGCAAACGACTATGGTTTGGAGGCGGCAGTGGCGACTATAGTGGCCTGACAATGACGGTCAAGTGTCGACATTGATGACAGGCATCAGTGGTCGGACGGCGATGACGATGGTGGCAGGGCAGCTGCGGTCCGACGACTGTGAAGGCCATATGACATTGGCGCAATGGTGGTCGGACAATAGTGTCCTAGTGGCGGTGGTGGTCTAGAGGTGATGATGGTGGTGGTCGGGCAATATTGGTCCAATGCGATGATGGCAGTGGTCGGGTAGCTGTGATTCAATGTCGGAAATGACGAAAATAGTCCAATAGGGACGACGATGGTCCGCTGATGACAGTGGTAGCTTGACAACACTGCTCTGATGGTGGTGACAATGGTGGTCTGATGGTGGAAAAATCCATATTATGTTGTTTAGGCAGTGATGGTCAAACAATGGGGGTGGCTCGACGACGGTGGTATGACGATGGTGGAGCTCATGAACCCTCAATATTTTGGAGCTCATTCAACTTTCTCCTCCAAATTTAGGTTCAGGTTCAAGTCCAGTTCCCCTCTTCATGAAGAGACTAAAAGTCTATTTATATAAACTTTGTGAGTGACATCATCCATAAATATTGCAAGAATCTGGAACACTCTATCAGACGATCTAGAATGATCCATTTGACCATATGAGATTTTATGAGTCTTTAGTTGCCTTAATGATGTCAGAATTAAGTGATTTTGAGTTTGTTGGATTCATCTCACCAAGACACTCGATTTGACTATAAAAATATCATATTTGGGGATTATTTAATTCCCAAAATATTGTCAAATGTCAGATTTGAAGATCATTTAATCCTCAAAATATATCTCAAAGCTTCTTATTACGTTTAAATGTATGATATGGGCTAACTTGGACTTAGATTGAATCATGTTTGATGTTAGCCGACTAGTCTGATCAAGCTATCTCATTTGAATTAGGGTGTAAGTAGTTGATGGTTTGATTTTTGAAGTTATTAGTCTAAATACGTGTCAAGATTCGTGCATAATTAAAATAATTTCTTGGTGACATATCAAGTAACACATACATTAAAGACAATCATTCGGTCCATCAAAACTTCAACATACCCTATAGAACATAGAGTTTTTATTACTCATAAAAAATGGAAATTTTGATACGTAGCACACTATTCTTATGAATTTATATATCTCACACCGAAACTTTCATATTTACATGCATCACACTTTACCTATGCATGAAAATGCGGATTTGGCTATTAAGAACAAATGATAATTAGTGCTATTTTTTGTGATATGGAATAATTGAGGGTTATGCATGTAAATATGTAAGTTTTGGTGTGAGATAAATAAATCCATAAGAACACTACTATCACTATCTTTTTAAAAGTAAAACACACCTTTATGCACATGTTTATGAACTAATATGCTACTAGTAAATATCAAACTTTGTGTCATATATATATATATATATATATATATATATCAATCTGTGTCTTATATATATATATATATATATATTTATATATATGAGTACATAAAGAACTGTGTGGTATGCATGCAAATTTCCCAAAATGAAAAGAAATGCATAAACTGCCCAAAGTAAATCCTTCAAAAAGAACTCAATTGCAGTCTTTCACCACAAAGTCCTGTTTTTTTTTCATCCTTCAAAATGAAAAAAGTTTCTAACCTGCACTCAACTGTAGAACCAAATGATCAATATCTTTAACATCTACAATTTGTTGAGGAGTCATTATCTGCTCCCCCTAACTCTTGTGGGCGCTGATTATCCCTTCACTACAGCAGGTGATGGAGGTAAACACAGTCTCTTCTTCACCTTGTTCCATGAATCTTTACCATCAGTGCTCTCAATCTTAACATCGCTAAGTGAACCATGGAACCAGCTCTTCTCCCTTGAAGACTCAGTCTGCGCCATGTAGCTCGGGAGTACTGTCATTGAACTCGTTAGACTCTCATCAGATGAACCAGCAAGGCTTCTTCTTCTTCTCCTTCGCCTCTCTGACTGTAAGCTTGTCAGGCTTTTTGTGCCATCATCTGATGGATGCCAGCCGCTTGTTGGACTCGCAGTTTTGATCTTGGAAGGAGTTGCAGGTGACTGCTGGTTAGGCGGCTGTGTTGATCTCTCTGGTGTGTGTCGAAAAGAACATGCTTTACTGATCTCTGCTTTGTCGACACCTACAATGGCGCTCCGGTGGCTTGCAGTCATCCAAAGCTCCAGCCAGCTCCAGCCCCATTGCGGGTTGTTTCCATCCATGAAATTTGGGTTCCCCTGCCTCGAAGGGCTCTTCCACTGTAACGAGTAAGGAAGGCATTTACATACATACCAACAATTCCTATGTGTGTACATATCCAACTTTTAAACTTTGTTTTTTACATTTGTACCAGGTAAATCATTTATATCATATCAAAAAAAATCAATATTTTAAGTTTATTGCATATTTTTCATGCATAGATTATGAAAACCAGAACTCTTAACTATCAAGGTGTTTGTTTGCTTTGCCCTGATGGCCTTATGATTTTGCCGGTTGGTGAAACTTCCCAAGAGATCACCTTTCTTAGGAGTGCTCCCATATGAGCATGGCTAATTTTTGAGTTTTTAATGAAATTTTACCGTTACGCCAAAAGATGCCTCAATGTTTAAGAGTTTAACTTCATTTTACTTAAGGGGTGTCACAATCTCCTCTACTTAAGTATCCGAAGTCCCCTTTAGTGCTCTATACCAATAATCATTCACGAGACGGATGAGATTCTAGAGGCGGCTCCTATAGGTTCAAGAGGTGACTCCTATAGGTTCAAGAGGTGGCTCTTACCATGTAACACTTTGTCCCATCTTGGGTTCAAGAGGCGGCTCCCATAACTTAGTACATTTGTCTGTATATCACTTAGTTCCCATCTTTCGGCTAGTGTAATGCTCTGATATCATTTATGACAGCCCAAACTCTCACCCATCTAGGAATTATTCATTTTGGACTAATGGCCTCATGGTTTTGTCTCATTGGTGTAACTTCCCAGGAGTTCACCCATCCTAGGAGTGCTACCATGCGAGCACGATTGGCTTTAAAGTTTCTATCAAAATTTCACAGTTACACCAAAATGTACCTCGATGTTTAAGAGTTCAGTTTCATTCTACATAAGGGGTTTCACATAAATATGGTGGCATACATGTAAAAATTGAAGTTTAGGTGTGGTTAGAGGAATTTTCAGAGCATCCACACAATAGAAATCAAACGCAGAAAAGCTGAAAAAAGCAAAATACCTGATGACTGAATGCGTAAGCTAATGCTCTTTCTCTTCTCATGAGAGCCTCCTGCTTGCTTAAAAGACTTGCTTCAATTTGTTCTTTGGACTGCATGCTGTCATCCCACTCCTCGCTTATCTGTTCAGCAAATAAAGTAAACATTTTACTCTGAAAAAATTTCAATAATGCATATATATTTAAATTGTTCTAATGTGGCCAATGCCTTAACTTCAGATCTGAATTTAAATACTCATTATAATTCAATAAATTTTGTAAAAAAGAAAGGGAAGATTCACATAGATACCACTTATTTCCCATGTATTTACATATTTACTACCTAAAAGTTATCTTTTTACATATATATGCCACCTTACCTATGCATAAAAAGATATATTTCACTACTTAAAAGTTAAAATAATGATATTTATGATGTGATATGAAAGATTTGGGTGGTATAAATGTACAAAGAGTGAAGTCTAGGTCTTAGATATATAAATACATAGGAATTAAAGTGTATCTATGTAAATGCCCCAAAAGAAAAAGATGTTACAAGTGAAATCAATAGTATAAACTAAAAATGAAATCTTGTGCAAATATAAAATAAGACTTTCTTGAGTGTATATTATCTAAATAAGAAACCATGATGTGTATTATTATATTGTTTATTTTAATATGCATTGTTATATATTATTGTCCATTACACTAAATTATTCTTATATTGACTCAAAACATATTCTAGCAAACTCTTGTTTAGCTTCAAAAAGAATAGTTATCTATGCCTATGATTTGGTTAAACTACAAAAGATATTGAAACAAATTGCATTAAGTAGATGAAATATAGCATGGTAATTTCATTGCGAAAACACTAAAGCTCATGCACTAATGCTAGAAAATTAAAAAGTTAGCATATGAAAATGAGAGAACAAAACTTTTAATTATTAACCATGCAACATTTCTATTGAATCCTCTAGTCTGCTATCAAGTTTGTATTTTCCTAATGGTAATATCTCTATTCCAACAGAATAATGTGTGTTAACCTACTTATTCTTTAGGAGAAAGTTAGAAATCTTAGATCACAATGGATTTTAAGATTCTGACGGGTCAGATTAGAAGTAAACTAAGGCCATAAAGTTAACATATGGACATGTGAAATCCAAGCACAAAGAAGGCATTTAGGGAACAAACTCCATAGCATAAAACAACGGGAAAGCCACATACCTTACATCAAAGAAGTAAGAAAATAAGGTTAACTAGGTAAATTTCATTACTAAAACACTAATCCTCGTGCACTAATGCTAGTAAATTAAAAAAGCAGCATATGAAAATGAGCGAACAAAGACTCTACTTACAAGATGTGGTTATATAGATTCAATCATGATTAAAGAAGGAGAAGAAATGCAACGAAGAGAAATATGAGGTTCCATACGTGCATCTTTTCAAGCTCCCTTTCCTGCTTAAGTAGAAGCTGTCGTTGAAGAGTTTGATTCCCCTCTATCAACCTGATCCTCCTCGAACGAATCTGTGATTGAATTTTGGCCAGCATTTGCATGCAGCGCAATGTCATCTCGGCTTGACGCTTGGCTCCATTTCCATTAATAAGGGTCTTTAGTCGAATCAACCCTTTCAGAGCTCGTAGAGCTCGCCTGGCCTGCAACGTATTTGGAAACATGTAAGCTCATCACTAACCATGAGTCAAAGAAGAAGACATGATGTCCATCAGTTGCTAACAGTTGATTAGGAATTTTTGATATTATTAAATTTTCCAAGCCTCTAATTAAGATATAACAGATAAAAATTTGATGCAAAAGGACTGAAAAGCTTAAATCAATAGCTGTAGATTCATAATCAACCCACAAATTGTATTACTTTCATTTCCTTCAGCTTTCAACTTTGTAAAATAATTATGAAAGATCTACATACATACCACTCAATTCCTATGCTCAATTCCTATGTATTTGCATATCTAACACCTAAGCTTCAATTTTTAAATACAAGCGACCTTAACTTTGTATAAAAAGATGTATTTCACTGTTTAAAAGTTAAAATGATGTGTTTTTTTGATGTGGTATGAAAGTTTTGAGTGGTGCATATATAAAATGTAAAGTTTAGGTGTTTAGATATGTAAACATTACGGAATTGGGTGGTGTGTATGTAAATTCCCCAATAATTAAAATATAAATGAAAAATGCTTATGAGTATAAGCTTCTGATTGATGCTACAATCTCCCAAGTTTTTAATGTGGTAGACCTTAATATGTATCATAATCACATCTCCTTGGATAATATTAATACCCAAGCTTTTAGTTTTAATACTAAACTATATGTACCAATAAATAAATTCTAGTCCCCTACATATTAAGTTTTGAAGTATTTTTGGCCAACCTAAGCTTTCAACTCATATTCTTAACCCAATTTGTCCTATTTTGACAATTTTGAACACAAGTTGTCAACCATAACTAAAGTTGGCCTCCACAACACTATTTTGACCTTCCAAATCACTTTTGACTTGCCACATCATCATTCCTTATCGCCATTGTTGTCCGTCTTCCAAACACCCCCCACCACCCCCCCTCTGTCGCATTAATTACTTGTTTAAAAATTAACTATCTTTGCAAAAAAAATTGACCTAGAATGATTGAAAACAATATTTGATGCTTCAATACCCTCCCACCACCAAACCTCCATTTTCCAAGCCAAAAACATGCACCCCTGTTACACCAATGCCTAGCCTAAGAACAATTTGGTCTTTTATACCCCTAAGGGAAATGTAGTCTTTTATTATTATTATTGTGAGGTATAAATAGGCTTATTATGTTTAGTGTTATGTTTATGGATGAGATTATTGTGGTGAGTCTTAGGTTTAGAGTTTGGGAAACATTTCTTACCTCTCGAAATGTAGGAATTGGGAGAGATTGTCTATATCTCAAATTGTAGGACCTTTGCATTCATATTGAGTTGTTTGGATTATTAAAGAAAAGTATTTGTTTTGCCCTAATTTCTATGGAAATGCATGTTGAGTTTGACGCAGGATCATATCAATCCCTTTCTCTATGTTTCGTTCTCACTCAAAATCAATATAATCATCTTGATTGAATGAAAACGATGATGATTGTTAGGTTAAGTTTCTCTTAAGAGCTCTCGAAGTTTATTCCTTTTGCATGCTTTTCATTCTAAGAGGACTTCTTAAGTGCGTAACGGGTGTGTAGTCTTGCAAAACATTCAGGAAATAAAGATTCAATCTTGATAAAGAGTTCCTCAACAAGGATATTCATTGGTTCCAATAAAGCTTGAGTGTGAGAAAGACTACCTAGCAGATTAATAAAAGAATTATAGTAGTGTTGTAGTCTTGTGAGAATGTATGTGTTTCTAAGGGCATCTACACAAATACCATCTAACTCCTATGTATTTGCATATCAAACACCTAAACATAACTTTTTTACATTAATACCGCCCAAATCTTTCTTGTCACATAAAAAATACCACCATTTTAACTTTCAAAAAGTGAAATACACATAATCATTCATAGGTAAGGTGACATGTATGTAAAAATTGATGTTAAGGTGTTAGCATGGGTAGAACAAACATTATTTTTGAGGATGGGCAAAATCATCAAATGCCTATATATATATATATATATATATATATATATATATATAAGTTGTATGGCTCAAAATTACTAAAGTGCCTAACTACATAAGAAAAAATATCAAATATGACTATTTCTATAGAAAAATTTCAAATTTAACCTGGTTTCACTCTTGGGAGATAGATATCCAAATATTATTTCTTGTACTTTTTAAAATTTTTATAGCAGTTTTGTTTCCAATAATTTGGTGTTCTTCACTAAAACTACAAACTTCAATTATTAAAAAAAAAAAAAATCTCAATATGACATATAACATGCTACCATTAGCAAACATTAAATAAATGAATAATATAAGAAGAACTTGCTTTCATGTACCTGATATCCACGGAAAGCAGTTTGGATCTTGATAGCCGCTACCTCCCTTGAATCGCCAGTAAAATTTGCAGAAGAGCTGAGCCGAACAACCTCTTCGGTTGTCTGAACTGTACCCGCAACTCCAACAGAGCACACATTCCCGCTCTGTCCTCGCTCCTCCTCTGCCAATTTGATCTCTTCCGTGTGCGGCCATGGATGAACTGGTTGAGAAACTCCTGAAACCGCCACTGGAGCAGTATTTTGGAGCTTCTCAGACATCCATGGCTTCCAATGCTTTGATTTCCAGCAACCCCATTCACTCGATTTCTAGTTGAAAGATGATATAAAAGTAAGATTTTTGTTACTGACTCAGCTCAGCGAGCATTTAGTAATGACAACAGATACAACTGAAACAGGAAGATGAAATCAAAAACCTCGCCTTTCTTTTCCTTGGATTTGGGACTGAAGATCTTCCTAATGGCGGAGACAAATTTCTTCCCCATCTTCCCCATTTCTTCCTCTTTCTCTTATATCACTGCATACATCCAACCAACAAATTTTTTATATCAAACTTCGAACAAACGCATCGGCGATCCTGAAACAGCTATCTGATCAAATAAACCTCCAAAAAAAAAAAAAAGGCAATCTTTGAAACAAAATGTTCAGTACCTGACGCTTTTCTCCAAGCCGCAATCTTTAGAAAAGGAGGATGCCTATCATAATGGATTAAACCAGTAAGCAGAGACAAAATGAACCGAAAGTGGTCAGTGGGAGTCAGAGATTCGGCGGTAGAAGGTTTGGTGAGGGTGGAGAAGAACAGGCGAGCTAAAGTAGAGCGTGAGCTCATTGATTCGGAGTGGGGGAGGAAATTGCGGGCGAAAGATGCGGAAATGCGGCCGTGGGTTAGTTGAAACACCGTCCGCTTGCGTGCGGTTGCAGGCAGGCATGTGGGAAGCAGTTGTAGCATGAATTTAGTATGAGTAGTACTTTTGAAAAATGGCTTCTTTATTTGGGGCTTTTGCATCCATGACTCTCAATTCTCTTTTATTTACATGTCTTGACATCAAAATTTTAATTTTTTTACATTCACTCCACCCAAATCTCTGCCATTTTAAACTTTTAAAAGTAAAATACAACTTTTTATGCATAAGGAAGGTGACATGTATTGAAGTTTAGGGGTTGGATTTGTAAATACAAAAGATTGATATAATGGTTTTATGTAATTAATAATTTAGTTTTCTATCAAATAAATTACTCTAGAGGATCCTTGCTTGCTCTATTGCTCATGCCATATAATGCAAAGGCCTTATAAAATTGGCCTTTTGATTGAAGGTGGATGATAAGAAGGCTATAACTTCTCCAAAACAATTAAGGTTGAAGACAATCTAAATTTAAATTCATCTCAAAAAGTCAAACACTTAAGAAAGTGACCATTAGGTTTAAAATTATTAAAGAAGAGAAATTTTATGACAAATAAGCTCTCCCCATATTCCCTAATCTTGTTCCACCAAAGAGGAAGAAACTCCTAGTAAAGTTTGGTATATGATATTGACATGAAGGATCCAACAACTTTCTTTGAGTATAAATTAAACTTCTTAAATAATAGAATGAAGAAGAAGAGCTCACACTCATGAGAAGGGAATGTGCTACAATAAGATGCATCATAGTGACTTTGAGAATATAGTTGAGGCCAACTAGAGCAACTCAAAGGAAAATGATTGTAATTTACTTGAGTTTGAAGAAATGATTGTGGCTGCTCAAAGCTTTAAATCTAATGAAATTTCTCAATGCAAAAAAAAGATGGAGGAATGACATAATTTATATGAATTAATATCCCCATCCATTATAATTGAATTATGAACAAAATTATAAAATTAAAATAAAAATATTTAAAAGTAGTTGGAAATTAAAGGTGTGATCAAATGTGATACCATGAGAAAGTTTTCTACTTTGTACAAGTTATTGCAGAGCAAAATCTTAACTTCTCCAAAACAATTAAGGTTGAAGACAATCTAAATTTAAATTCATCTCAAAAAGTCAAACACTTAAGAAAGTGACCATTAGGTTTAAAATTATTAAAGAAGAGAAATTTTATGACAAATAAGCTCCCCCCATATTCCCTAATCTTGTTCCGCCAAAGAGGAAGAAACTCCTAGTAAAGTTTGGTATATGATATTGACATGAAGGATCCAACAACTTTCTTTGAGTATATGAGAAGGGAATGTGCTCCACTAAGATGCCTCATAGTGACTTTGAGAATATAGTTGAGGCCAACTAGAGCAACTCAAAGGAAAATGATTGTAATTTACTTGAGTTTGAAGAAATGATTGTGGCTGCTCAAAGCTTTAAATCTAATGAAATTTCTCAATGCAAAAAAAAAGATGGAGGAATGACATAATTTATATGAATTAATATCCCCATCCATTATAATTGAATTATGAACAAAATTATAAAATTAAAATAAAAATATTTAAAAGTAGTTGGAAATTAAAGGTGTGATCAAATGTGATACCATGAGAAAGTTTTCTACTTTGTACAAGTTATTGCAGAGCAAAATCTTAACTAGTTAGTGAGCTGTTTGTCAAACTTTTCGATGAAAAACATTGCTAAGTTTGTCAAGAACTATAAAAGAAGGACACTTGATTAAAATAAAAATTTCTATACTAAAATTAATTTTTTTCTTCTCATCTTCAGTAGAAGCTCACATAAGAGCAAGTGAATTATTAAATTAAATTCTATCTAAGTTAGCATGATTTTGAAAAGAGAGTGAAAAGCATTATATAATCAAAATTTTGCACATCAAATCCTAACTCTCCTGTTTTATTATTATTTTCTGAATCTCACAATGTTAAAAACTCACAACTATGAGATTAGGATCTGTCTTAGCATTTCTTTAACTTTGATCTTAAACTAAAACTAACTAATGAAATATTAAATGATGGCATAGTTAGTATAATTTGAAGAAAAATTCTGTAAATCATTATTTTTTCAATGATAAATTGATCATTTTGTTACGTTTTATGGTAAATATCTTTTGACCTACTCGTTCCATAAAGAGATTAATAGTAAGTTATTGGATTATCCTTTTGCAAATTTATAATTAAAACTATTGATTTAGCTTCTAGTTATCTCAATATAAAAAGAGTAGAAAATTAATAATTAACCGGGTTGATAAAGTTGTTTTTTCAATTATTGCTCATATTTAATTATGACCTTCCTACTAGCACACTTACATAGAGATCAACAAAGAATACTGGTAAAGTTATTTGAGTGATGAAATTAATAGATTTATTAGAAATCTTACTTGCCTACAAGCACACTTACAAAGTGATTAGCAAGATGCACTACATTTCACTTTTTTAATTAAAATCTTCTTAAGAAATAACTCTTTTCTCTTTATGTTTGTTTCTTTGATTTCTCTCATCTTTACCTTTTAAGAATATTGCGAAGAAATTCTTGATCATGCATGTTATCATCCTTGATTTTTAAAATCTTGGTCATTTGAGCTTGGATGGAAAGAGTAGGGATGTTCAAAAGAAGAAGATGATATAACAAAGCAATCATCAAATGCCGACTCATGCTCATATTTATAGGCTCTTGTTGATGTGAATGTGTGCATCCATTTAAACTAGATTTATCATTGAAAAAAGTATCAATGACATGACTATCAATGTGATAACTCATCAAGATAATAAAATTGTTAACAATTACTTACTTTTTAATAATATAATTCAATTATTTAATTCTTTTAATCTTTTTACAAACTAATTTTATCAATAAAAAATAAGAGAAAGAAATGTACACTCATATATTTTATTAATTGGATTCAAGCTAATCTATTTAATGTTCTTAGTAAGTTAATCATATAAGAGGAACAACAAACTCGTTAAGTTCATCATAAATTTTCTAAGCTCACCACAAACTCACTAGTCTCACCAAACGCTTGAGAGAATCACATATAACTTCCTATAGTTACCCCAAAGATGCAAAATTCAAGTTGAACCCATCAAGGCAATGCTACAATCACTATAGAGAGGTTGAATATGTTGAATTTCTCATGACCTTGTACTGAAGTCATACATCATAAACTACTTCTAGAGGATTAAAAGCTTCCTCTCAGCAAATCGAATATGCCAATTAGTTGATCAAATGATGATTACAATTAAAAATTAACATGTGAATTTTATGTATTTTTGTAACATGCTTTATATACTTTATAACAAGCAATTACACACACACACACACACACACACACACATATTGAAAAGGTTCATCGCCGATCAACCCCATAGTCTGACTGAGGGGGGGATCCCCATTCCAGACAGGTGTGCAATTCAATTCTACAGAAGGATTGAACCCCCGACCTGAGGGACTTATACCAAAGATTGCAACCAATGAGTCAGGTTAAGACACGCACGCACACAAACACACAAATATATATATATATATATATATA